TTAAAAATCTCACATATACAGGTGTGACCCTTCTTTATAAACTGGTTTGTATGTGTCGCTACAATTAATACCAAGCGCTTGCAGCAATTTTAGGATGGGTTGCGCTGCCAATGTATCCAGCGAGACATTGTCAGTGTATGCTACATAGGCGGATGCTGGCAAATTCTCATTGTGACGCCAACAAGCAACTATAAGGATATTTATTTATAAAGTTTGAAGTTAGATAAATACATCAAATATTGCTTACTTCCTGCTGCCACCCCAACGACAAAATTTGGTGCATCCAGTTCTTCTACATGCGGCAGTTTAGAATTTATGCCCCGCAGGAATGTAATATCATCACGAATTTTTCGCAAGTTTTCGCTCTGATATTCAATCTTTGACTTTACTGTTAATGTGATAACGGTTTCCGCTAACTTTGCATACGGCAGAAGCAACTCTGTCACTTCACCGCTATTTGTCAGATCTTCTTTTAATAGTGCAATTAACACCTCTTTATCCTTAACATAATGCAAGGACGATTTTGACGATGGTATTTTACAAATTTTCCGTGCGTTCTGTAACAGTGATGCTTCCACGAACTCTGACACGTCGGTGCCCTCAATCAGAAGAAATATCTTGCTGGGCAAAGGTGCATATGTCTCGTTGGGTTCATACAGTAGTTCAAGTCTGCAAGGGGAAAGTCGGTTAATTCAATATGCAATGGAATTAAAAAAATGCAACTCACTTTTTGATCTCCTTGTCCTTCTGCACAGGTTCATCCTCATCACAATCATCCCAGAAAGCGCGAGATGATGGAATATTTAAATCACCGAAACCCATTGGACAGCCCATTTTTAAACGATTTCACTCTTGGAAAGTATTTTGGCAGTAATTATTTAAAAACAAGATTGTGATTTTCGCTTGTCATCAGCCACTGGCAGCGAGCGCGTTCACTAAACGCATATCCAACAGCTGATTGTGATAGGGTTGCATTGGAACATTTTTTTTTTTTAATACTATCTAATAGAGGAAAAATATTAATTACTAAATTAAAAAAAAAAATAATCGCAATTCATAGAACGAATTGCAGAAGTGTTCAATATCGCAGAAGAAGGAATTAAATCTGCTTTTGGTTATGCAAAAAAAACCTTTTTTTCATAAAATACGATATGCAGCTAAAAAAAAACAAGCACAACACTTCAATTTTAATCCAGAAAAAGCTTACCACTTCTCTGGCGTAATCTCAGAGTCGAATCACGCACATATACTGACTCGTGAGTAAAAGAAATATTTTTTTAAGCTTGCACACATTTTTTTTTTTATTTCGATGCAAATGCCTACACTCAAATAATACGTATATTTATTCTGTGTGAAATGCATTTTTCGGGGCATTTAAATTAGTAGGTATTGTAAGTTAAAATTAAATCAGCTTTTGCGAACATTACGTTATGAAAAAAGTACCATTATTTGCAATTAATCTACTCTTCAACAGCTACACCAATTGCTGAATGAATGCACTCTTCTTTGTTGATTAGATGACAAGTCTTGTTCACCAATGACATCAGTTGGTTCACATCGTTCGCCCAATTGTTCAGTATATCGGAAGCACTCTTCTTGGTGGTGAAATAAACAATTCCCACGGGCCGATCAATTTTAACGCGTATGGTATCGCTATTCGCTAATTTTGAAAGATATTCTTCGCAGCGATTTGAAGGTAAGTTCAGTAACTCACTCATGCGTTGAAGGTGGATGCGCGAGTAGTACATTGCGATAATGCGAATGTTCTATAAGCAACAAAATTAGGTTGAATACAAAGTGTGAATTTATGAATGTAAAATCTTACGTGCTCCATAAGACGATCCTTCAGTTCAGCAATACATTTGCGACCATGTTTTGTGCTGTCCACAAACATTTCATTCTCTGCTAATACGCTGCCAAAATCAGCGTTGAATGTATCGAAATTTATTAGCTCTTTTGACATGAACAAGCGTAATATTTCACTGAAATATTTAAAATAAAATAATATGTACTGTTTTAGTTTTAACAATGTTTTTTGCCATCTTACCGGTAGGCGGGTATGTCCTCAAGTTTCTTATTTTTCGACAAATGCGCCATCATATCACTTTGTTCGTTGTCGTACGGCGCTAGTACACAATATAGCACAGCACAAATGAGTTTCTCCTTTTGTTCCTTTTCTTGTTCGGGAGTCAATTCTACCGCCGTCAAGGCAGCGGCTGCTACAGCAGCAGCCTTGAGTTCATCTTCGCGCTTCTTTTTATCTTCCTCACTCAATTTCTTCTTCTCTTCTTCAGTCAGATCTGGCACTGCAGGTGCTGGACGCGGTGGTTCAGCGATTGCCTGATAATGGCGCGAGGTCTTTAAGAATGAAGTGTCGCGGTCTAACCGAATCATTAAGTTGTAGAATTTTAACTTTAAGTCATGCTGTGCTGGGTCATCGAAGAATTTTATGCTTATCTTCTTGGCTATGATTTGTGTTGATACAAAGTCTTCTTTTAGTAGACAAAGCCTCATTTGTTCTAAAATCAATTCAACTTTTTCGCGCTTATCCATTGAACCATATGTTTCGACTTGTAGTTCTTCCATAACAGAGGCAGCGCCAGCAATGTCGCCATCGGCCTCCTTGATATCAGCCAAAATTTTTGTTAAACGGGCGCGTTCGATTTCTACATAAATTTTGCCTTCAGTGACTGTCCGCAATGTGTCAATTAGCTTCAATTTAGTGGCCTTGTCAGGCGTTTTATCTACATAAGTGCAGCATTCTTGTATCATCTTTGATACAGCTTGCTTCAACTGCGAACGCCGGCGCGCTAATAATGAAACATATTCGTTCAAAGCATTCCAGTTTTGAGCCTCGAAGCAGATCTGGCAAATTGCGACTAGTACGCGTGAGCAAGAGACCATATCAGAGCCCTGAAGAAATAAATGAATGAACTCTTGGTCTGGCAAATATTATACATATCTGACTACATTATTTGGTAGTGCACTTTAGCGGATTATCAGAAGGGGTCTCAATCGACGCGTTTTAAGGCCAATAACAATAATTCGAAAACGCAAATAAACTATTTTAATTTACTCGAAACACTTTGCGTACCTTCTTTTGATGAATTTCACGCAAAGGTGTTCAAAAACGAGTCTATTGATACCCCTCTTGACTTTTTTGATTGAATTTTGGGCAGGCTCCGCAAAGTGCATTTTTACCCATTAATTATTTACCAAACGTGATTGCTTTTCCAGCTGCAACAGCAACTCTATAGCATCATGGAAAGCTTCAGGATTATTTTTGGCCATATCTTTGGCTAAAGGAATTTTCTCATCACAGGCAGGTGAATAATCCACCTCCATTTTGGAGATGCGACCGCCTTCAAACAAGTAATTATCCATTTTACAGTGCTTTTTTTAACTAAAATAAAAAAATGGAAACAAACGATTATGCGGGCGAAAGTGGCGAGAGAAAACAATTGGACAAGTTGACATCCCACTGAAATCGAAAGGTTGAGTACACTTCATTTGAAAAATTTACCGCGTATGAAAGATCTTAATGCAATGTCTTTCCTAGACCTGATGTTTTCCTTCGCTAGTTAAAATAAATTGAACTTACTTCAATTTAAAATTTAGAATAATAGTGAAAATGCGGCTACAAGCAGACTTCGGATAATTCTGCTTACTAATCGATTAAGTTGGCTGCGATTGTGCAATCTGCGTGCTGTCAATGAAACTGTGAACAGGGTGGTAGAATGCAAATTGGAAGAAATAAATACGGTATGCTAAATGTTTAATTAATTTGATATAAGTAGCAGTTGCAAAACATAATAAAAATATTTTTTCGCCTTATAGTAAAAAATTAAGAATTCAGCGTAATAAATTTTAGTGTATGCATTTATTTTTAGGGGGTTTACAATATGCACACTAAACACACCATTTTGCCCAAATGTCAAAACCAATTGTCATTTATTCGCCAATCGCATTTTGCGCCCGAAATTTTGTATCAACGTTGTGGCTTATTTATTTTCAGTTTAATGCAATTTTCGGGTGAAATATAAGGAGAAATCTATAATAAAGTAAATCAATTTTGTTTACGCATTAATAGCAAACAGCAGGAATCTAGGCAATACTGGATACAAGCTGGTAATTTAGAACTTTTGGTCAGAAGCGAATCGCAAGATCTCTGCGAGAGCAATACATCTCTGTAATCAAGCTCCACATTTACCGCCATGGCGCATATACATGACTTCGAGGAACTAGTATTGGATGCACTTGATGTAGTGGAATTTAAATTGAGTGAGTATAGCAGATTTTAGACGCATCCAAATGAAGCTAATGAAACCCACGTGCAATTTTAGTACGACGCAAACAAGACTTGGAAGATGATAGTCTTGTATTCCACCCCCAGATGGCACATCAAATATTTGGCGAATCGGAGAGCATATTCGGTTATAAGGACTTGCTTGTGCGAATACTATACACAGCAGGACCACTGCACATTTACATTGGCATCGAATATAGCAGCCGGGTTGATGAGCTATCAGGCGGGGCATTAAAAGCGGATAATGTCGTGAAAACAATAGCAGAGAAATTGCCTGACGGCTGTTTCTTCATCAATATGGATGAATTTTTAAAGACACTCGACAAAGCAGATAAATTTCAACCTTTCGGCGAAAAGTTGTCTGAACACAAAGTAAGCGATGCGCAAGGAAAGGAGCGTTTGTTCGAAATATATCACAGTGATTATAAAGCACCGGCATTCTTGAAATTCTTCGGACGTTTACAAACCTTCATACTCTGGTTTGTTGATGCAGCGTCCTATATTGATGTGGATGATACGCAGTGGAGTTTCTTTATTTGGTATGTAGTAATATGGATAAACTGAAATCGCTTATATTTATAATAAACCCAAATAATTTTTCGTTCATGCGATAGCTATGAGAAGTATAAAAATGATAATGGCGACTACCAGTACGCCACCGCTGGCTACACCACTGTATACGAGTACTATGCATATCCGCAACATATACGGCCACGCATCAGTCAAGTTCTGGTGCTACCACCATTCCAAAAGCTCAGCATTGGCACGCGATTCGTTGAAAGTATTTATAAACATTACCAGTCACAAAAAAATGTTATTGATATGACAGTGGAAGACCCATCCGATGATTTTCAGCGTTTACGCAATTTTGTAGATGCACGTTTATGCATGAGATTGAAAAGCTTTGCACCCGATGAAATTAAAAAAGGTTTCAGCAAAGAAATGGTGCGAGAAGCGCGCGAAACACACAAGGTACTACTGCTGTAATTGCTTATCTTACGTTGGAATATAGTTTATTTCAAATTCTTTTTTACAGTTGAATCCACGTCAGTGTCGGCGCGTCTATGAAATACTCCGCCTTTATTATACGAATGTAAACGATAAAAATGACTATTATGCCTACCGCTTGGATGTGAAGCGACGTTTGAATGCTATACATTATAAGCAGTTGAATGATATCAAGAAAATGGAAAAGGCAAATGTGGATACCGAATGGTTGAGAGCGCGCTTGCCTACACAAAGTCAACGCATCGAACAATTACAAGAGGAGTATGAGCAAGTAGAGAGTGCTTATAGGCAGATTGTTGAAAAGCTGCGTGCGAATTAGAGTTACATAATATTTGTGTTTTATTATTCATTTTATTGTCAATGTTGATATCAATCAGTTAATTGTCCAACATGTCCTTCATTTTGGTAACACACTCACTTTTTTATGTAATAAAATTTAAATTATTGAAAGTAAACATGTTAAACGATGGTTTATTTAATTTTTTAATATTTCAAGTTGGAATTTCGGATATTGTAGAAGTTAAAATTTCACTTTTGGCGGATTACGCCATTTCCATATATACCTTTTTCCTTTAACACGATAGTAATACATACAGGGTTTCCCCGATCAAGTATTATCACTCCAGCAGGCATGTGTAACTAAATTATTATTTGAAAGCTGTATACAAATTTACCTCAGTACACCTCAGTAGAAGTACAAAAACCATTTGTAGTGTTGATTAATTTATTACTTCGAAATTCGAATATACACACATACTACTAAATTTATAAATATTTTATATAAAATGATTTATCTATCGACTAGCTGCATATATGTATGTATGTATGTAAATGGTTATCTAACATTCACGTCTTTTATCAATTTTTGAGACGATCTAGCGCTTGAATTTCAAGTAAGGAGGCAGGATATATTTTCTTGATACATAGGATATAGGACAAGGGGTGGGTTGTTATATAATTTGAGCGAATTCAGGTAAAGTTACTCACTAGTGACGAAAATAACATAAATGGAACCATAAACATCAGCAGTACTAATCCATATTAGAGCTATGAACTATGGAAGTTTTATAATAAATGTATGTATGTACGTACGCAATTGTATTAGTTACACGCACCTTCCATTGAGCCCTCTTTCGGGTTTAGAAATTCTTGAAGCTTGCACTTTATTGCTTTTTTATTTTAAATTATGTCTAAATAAATAATGTGCAAATAAATATCGCCTGCGACTAGCCTAACATGAGCCATAGACCTCCATCCATTTTTCGAAACGTGAAACATCATCAGCCGTTACAGATTGTTTAGTTCGCTCCATGGCTTCTTGGAAATCCTGCAATGTTATGGGTTGATCAATGTCCTCGCGTCGTATTTCCTTGATTTCGGATGGCGAACGGCCGGCTATGAGGCGACGCATTGCCATCATGGCGGCATCGCGACATACATTGCTTATGTCCGAACCGGAATAACCTTTTAGCTGATCGCCAATGAGATTCGTGTCAAGATTGGGTGAAAGACGCACATCTTTGAGACAAAGTTTAAGTAGAGCGGAGCGGGTTTCTTCTGCGGAAGAGAAACAATTTTACAAAATATAATTAGTACTAAAAATATAAAAAAAAAATTTTTTAGCGAAAACTTATTGTGGAAAATTTGGAATTTGTGCATATCAAGGTGGTCCTTAAAACTAAAAATCTAAATTTTGTTCTACAAAAAAAAAAAAAAAAAATTTGGCGTCACTACCAGGATTAAAAAAAAAATTGTAATTTTTTGCAAATGCGAAATATATTTCAAAACTGATAAAAACATTTAACACTTTTTTCGGATCTCAATTCCACCGAAAAATATTTAATTTGTTCCTACATATTACACTATATTACAATATCGACTTTTGTGACACTTTTCTGACAACAATGGTTATTTTAAAAACAAAAGCTCTTATTTAAGAAAAAAGAGCTTTAAGTAAGAAAAAGGTTTGTCCAATATATTGGACGTTTGTACTGAAAGGGTTAAACTGGTTCTCATATAAATTCATAAACTAGGCAAATTTTTGCTGGTTAAAGTCACAATTTTGTCGAATTTTTCCGATTTTTTTAAATACATATGTAATTAAATTTTTTCAAATCCTGGGAGCGACCTCTAATTTTTTTTCCTTTTGAAATTTTTGTGCGGATGTCTTTATTTTGTACGTGGAACATTATACCCATGATTTTAATATTTTAGGAAACACCCTAGTATATATGTTTAAAAAAAATTAAATGTTTTATATGAACTTTAACGCGGAATTGAGTGAATATTGACTTGAATGTTTTTTTATTCCTCTGACTACATTTTTACCTTTTTTTTTAGCTTTTGGGCTACTTTAAGGACCCAATAGATTCAGTTTTAAATTTTTAATTATTGTTTAGTTACCCTGGAAATTTAAAAAAGCTATAAATTTCAGCTTTCTTAAAAACTTGAAAAGCTTTAAAGTTCGCACCCGAAACTGTTTTAATATTTTAAGAACCACCGTATAAAACATGTTAGTAAAAAATTTAATATTTTAATAAAATTTGAATTTAACTGAAGAATTGCGTGAATGTTAACTTGAGATCTTATTTTATTTCTCAATCTTAAACTAGATCTTTATCTTAATTTTAATTTCAATCTTAATATTAATCTTAATCTTAATTTAAATTTAAATTTAAATTTAAATTTTGATTTTAATCCTAATCTCATTCTTAATTTTAATCTTATTCTTAACCTTAATCCCATCCTTAATCTTGATCTTAATCTAAATCTTTATCTTAATTTTAATCTTAATCCTAGTCCCAATTTTAGCCTTAACCGTAATCCTTATTCTTAATCTTATTTTTAAACTTAACCTCATTCTTAATCTTATTCTTAATCGCACCCAACCATTTAGAGCCCAACGAAAATTTATGTAAACAGCCGCTTTTTCCCCTGCGACTCACCATTTGGAAGTGCAATATAGATCCTTTTCTCGAATCGTCGCCTAAAAGCCTCATCAATGTCCCACGGATGATTTGTCGCCGCCAAAACCATAATGATCTTATCTTCCTGCAGAGTCGCATTCAATCCATCCATCTGTATTAGCAGCTCGGCTTTAAAGCGCCGACTTGCCTCATGTTCGGAATCACTGCCACGCGATGTACACAACGCATCGATTTCGTCGAAGAAAATTGTGCTCGGCGCATAAAAGCGCGCCATTTCAAACAATAAGCGCACCAGCTTCTCGCTTTCGCCACGATACTTTGAGGTTAGCGTGGCTGAAGAGACGTTGAAGAAAGTGGTGCCACATTCGGTGGCCACCGCCTTGGCTAGCATGGTCTTGCCAGTGCCCGGTGCGCCTACCATCAAAACGCCACGCCATGGGCGTCGTATACCCTTGAAGAAGTCGGGCATAATTATCGGTAAAACGACAGCTTCCTGTAGTATGGCCTTGGCTTCATTCAGCCCTGCCACATCGCACCACTTGACGCCGGGATTACGCTGCAATATGTCCTTTTCGAGCGTATCCACCAAGTGCGTCTCATAGCCGATGGGCGAAAATACTTTCGTTTTTGTTTTCGGCGAACTTTTCGGCGTATTCTGCGATGTGGAGTTCTCCTCCAAAGATGTGATTTCCTGATCATCTGAATTGGAGTTCTCATCAATCGAATTCTTCTTAGGCTTGTCTTTGAGTTTGATTTGTGTGGTAAGTTTGCGTGCACGTATGCGCTCCACGCTACGGCTTTTGCGTGTTGCCGCCATGGCTGAGGCCTTAATGCTACGCGAACTGCGTCCCTTGTCGCTGCCTAGGCTGCCGCCCACGTTGTGCGCGCTGCCATGATGACTCAAATTTATGGAAGGCAGTGTGGGCTGTAGTTCAGGATCGCGTGATCGGCGCAGTGACGAGATCCAACGGTTGTCATTGTGATTCGGGAATTGTATGTGCGTATTATTGCCTGTGTTACCGCCAGTGCCGCTGCTGCCACCTACACCACCATTCGCATTTTGATAAAGTGGATTTGTGGAGCCCGTAGTGGGCGGCAAGTTTGTATTGGGCCTTGGCTGTGGGGGCACTTCTGGAGGAAAGTTATAACAGGGGTGTGACATATTATTTGCTGCATCATTTAACGTACTTACATATATTTCTATAATAATTACCTTGCGTAGGTATACGCGTCTTTCGTAGTCCTCCCGCTGCCATACCACCACCAGCGCCCAGTGTGGCCGAGCTACCTGGTGAAAGACCGCTTAAAGTGGTTGTGCGTGTGGTCTCGGTTTTTTTGCCATTACCAGTACGTGTCGGCCTGTGCGTGGTTGTGATCTTAGTAAAGGCGAATGGTGGATATTGATCCAGTATCAATGAGTCCATCATCCGTGCCACATGTGAGAGCCCCGTTGGCGGTGTTGTGGAGGTACTGTGTAACGGTAAAAAGAAAAGGACATAGATAGAGTTTTGATATGTAACAAAATGTGAATAAAAGGAATAACAAGGCCATGCGTTGGGGATCATCAAACATCTAAAGCAACCTGTTAAAGTTAAATACAAGTGGCTTGTGACCCGTCACGTAAAAACTTTAAACCAATGATAATGCCTAAATACCTAAACCAATGGGTGGACAACGAGAGCGATGAATAAGTGACACAAATTCGCAAAGGAGAGAGGCAATTGGCGAAGTTTTTTGATCTCGGCCCAAACCAACAAATGGTTGTAGTGCCAAATAAGAAAAAAAGAAGGTGTGCAATAGGAAATATGTATGTATTGTTACGGCATGCTCAATGAAACTGTGCTCTTGAAAGTTACGCACATCGTACGGATGTCTTTCGAAATTACATATTAAGTTATTGTAGCTAGTATAAGGGCATACAGTTCATCGCGGAAATATGTTTGAGCTTCAGAGTAAAAAATGTTCATATTTAAAACAAAATTGTTTATGTCTTCCAGTTCTAGAACTCCATATAGAGAATATTATTCCGACGTATGTAGTTGAGTATTTAGATATGCGTATTACTAACCGGTAGAATTCAGTTTCGATTATTGGCTGGAGAAACGTTCCAAATTCCCCAGCAGTGACAAACCTCCGAGTACATATCTTAAAAAAGCTTCTCACAAAAACTATTTGGCGGTCAGAGTTGACGTTAGACGTTGGAATATGTCAAATACTCAGTTATATCAAAAAACGCCAAATACGAGGGTTGTTTCCAGGGTTCTGGGAATTGTACTATGTATAACATATATGTAATACAATATGATCGCAATGAGTTTTTAATTCGCAATCAAGGAAAGACAGCTTATGAAAATGTTTGTGATTGTAGAAATATAGGTACGTGTATATTTTTAAACTACTGCATAGAATGAAGTGCCATATCATAACAGGGGCGGTTCAGGGAATTCAACAAACAAACACAAATTTGTATATATGTACTATAACTAAATTACGCAGAGGTTATGGGAATGTTATTGGTGCCAGACATGTCTTGACAT